CCATGCTGGCTGGGGAATTCTGGGAGTTGAAGTCCACTCATCTTAAAGTGGCCAAGTTTGGACAACACTGGTCTATGGCAACTAGATAGTTAACCATTTTCATTATGGGAGAAGTTTCTGTACATTTTTTGCTATACATTTTCCCCCACTGTATATATTTTAAAACTTTTCTTAGATCTCTATCCTGCCTTTCCTCCAGGAACTCAAGACAATATATTTGTCCCACATTACAAATGTTGAATCGGTGCTATCATTTCAAAGGCATAGATATGGACAGTGAAGGTATGAGATGTAACCCACCATCCTGCCTTTTGTCTTTCAGAGAGTCACTCCATGTGGGCATCAGTAACAAGAGAGAGCGAGGAGTCCATCAAGCCAGATTACACTAGAATAGAACAGTTGTTCTGCTTCCCACAAAGCAAGCCCAAATCAAAGGAAGTGGCACCAGTGAAGACAGAACCAAAAGAGGTATGCTGATAGTTTGCTTGAACTCACCCTATTCATATAGATGATTGCTTGAACCATCCAAGAGTTCCCATAAACCAGGCCTGTAGCTTGCTGCAAAAGAGCATCCTGTTACACAACCAAGCAAGGAAGCATTTGAGGTTAGAAGAAACATGCTTTGTTCATGTTAGAGTTCTACATGCTTTGAAAATGGTTTGCAAGGAATGCTTCAGATCTTATGTGAGATCTCATGTCTCTGCTCTTGATTAAGGCTTATACTGTATAGATTTTTCAGGCTTCCATGCAAGCCTGTAAAATGATGTGGCTGCTTTAAGAATCACAATAATTCTTTTTTTCAAGAATTATTCCCAATACAACAATTTTAATTAGTTCCTTGTTAAGGGCAAGTACATATTATCCATTACTAATGTTCCAAAAACAGGATTCTTAACAGAGTTCAGCATATTATTATTATTATTATTATTTATTTATTTATTTATTTATTGGCTGTTCAATTCCAGTGGACTCTAGTCTTAATGCTAAACTAATGCCACAAAAAAAGAATGAAGAGAAAATATTGGCATTACTCACATCTACCAACTGAGGATAGCATTCTATAGATTTGGCAAAGTCCATTTATGGTGCCATAAGTCTTGTAACTTTACAAATTTCTATAAAAATAAGGCTGAAAATAACAGGTGGGTGGTTTATAATTTATACTTTATAATGAATTTCTAAAACTGACCAAAAATGTTTCAATTGTCCAAAACAGATCACATTTCTAGATTCCAAAAAGAGTCTTAATTTGAACATATTTTTGAAGCAATTTAAGTGGTAAGTGGTATTTTTATGTTGATAAAATAATACTAACATCAAACATTTTTGGAAAACAATATTTCTAATTGTTAATGCTGCCATCCTGTGCTTATTTTGTGTATGTACTTCTTGTGGTTTCAGTACAATTTAAGAGAATAGATATATACAACAGATTAGAATTTGTGCTTTTATATAAAGCTTATCATACATTCAGAATCTGGCATATACACATATATACACATGGAGCTTCCCCAAGGAGCCATCTTGCTTTAATGAAGCTTCTCTCTATACTGAAGTAAAGAGGAGAATTCTGTCTATTTACTGGGATCTGCTATCAGCAGGTATCATTGAATCAAGTCTGATATATTTTTGCAACATGTACTTGGGACTGGTTCCACCTTGGATAGATGCTACCTGTCATCATAACATAATAGATATGGCCTTAAATTAGTCCATGGTAGCTTTTTTGCTTGAACCCAAGGAACTGTGTTTTCATTCATCATTTACCCTAGCTTCCAGTATTCATTGTTAGGCAACTTAGAATACAGTTGCCATGACTAATTACTGCTAATCAATTTGCCATTGTTATATATACCCAATCCTTTTTAAACCTATGTTAGCTGGCAACCAATACTGAATTTTGTGGTAATGAATTCAAAACATCAACTACAGGCATAGAATGAAAAAATATTTTTCTTTTCTGACTTAACATGCTTGCCAATCAGTTTCATTGGGTGGGCTCAACACTCTAATATTATGAGAAGCTGAGAGAATCCTCTGTCTCTCCCCATAACTACATAACAATGATTGCATCTAATCAACAATCTCCTTTATCCACAGCACAAATGAGGAGGTGGTTAGCATGATTCAGAAAGGTGACAGAACAAAATTTGATGTTGAAGTTCTCAAACAGCTACTTAAACTCCTACCGGAAAAACATGAAGTAAATAACAGTTTGTTATTTCAGTTTTCTTTTGTATTGCATTTGCTGCATTCATACATCATGACTGAATAATCTATTATCAAGGTGTTTTTTTTAATTGATATCTTCTGGCCTCTTCATCAGTGTGGCTGTGAAAAGAAGTTCAGAAGCTGACCCTTCAGATTTAAATTAATCAGAGTATAATATTACACCAAAACAAAAATGTAATTAATCATTAATAATTTATTAAAATAAGATAGCTTTATAACCCATCATGATGTTCAGAACCACAAGCCTTTGTATGTGTGTGTACAGCATTGTTACTGGAACATGACATTTCTCTTTTCTTGCTAGATAGAAAACTTGAAATCTTTCAAAGAAGAAAAGGAAAAGTTAGCCAATGCAGATCAGTTCTATCTTCTACTCCTTGGAGTTCCTAGGTAAGGGAAATTTTAATGAGAATATTTGCCAAAGAAATATACATTTTAATTAATTTAAATGTAGACATTAGCAAAACAGCTCTAAAGCAGGAACTATCATTTGTTTTAGATGATTCCAGCATTATCATAGTAGCCACAAAAGAGGCATTCCAATTATATGTGAGAGAAAAGTTATATGCTTCTTCAGATGGCAGTTGTTATCTGCACTTTCAGAAGTACTAGTATAAAGAAATGTACTTTAATATCCAAATGAATTGGACCCATTTTTTTTGGCTGAGTAAAAATGGATTAAAAGGTAATTTGATAAAATAAAAATAGTGTTTTAATGTGTTCTGTTGGCAGTTTAGAGTAAAGTTAATACAAAATATTTTTCACACAAATAAATGCCAGCCGCATCTTCATACTATGACTGAGCTGGAATGGACACCATGATTCTTTCAAATGGGTCCAGTTGTTTCACTACCTTTTGTAGGGAAGGGGCATTCAGTCTCCAGAATGAGTTATTAGAATACAGTTGCTATAGTGGAATCACACACTGTTTCCTTTCTTTTTTCGTTTTCTTGTTAACAGTTTAAGAAATTGGCATATTCGCTACAGTCTAGGTGTGCTGCACTCTGGAAAGAAAAAACTATAGTATCACAATCACTGAAGTGAACTACTCCTACTTCAAGTCTCCTTCCCAAAAATAGGATAAACTTTGCCCAATCACCCAAGTGCACTTTCCATTTCTGGATGTGTTTGAGATTCCCTTTCTAGACTGGGCACATGCTTTAATGGGATGAAAAAAACAAATCTAGTTCATGCAAGCTTTTTCTAAGTACAATAACATTTCATGGGAAATAAGACAATTTTCATCTACCATTGAGAAAAGCTGAGAGTGGAAGCAAAGTAAAACTTTTGGGGGAGATAATTTCAGATTCTGGGCTCTAGCACTGTATCCAGGCTGAATGATTACCACTTACTCTAACAGGTAGGCTATCCATTAATAACAGCTCAAGAACCCTTAGTTTCTTGATCCTTATTGAATTCATCCTGTCCTAAGAACATGTCAAAAGTAAATGACAGTAGGCTAGGTAGACCCATGACTGGCTTCACATATCCAAGCCATAGAAGATAATGATGCAGATAGATCTTAATGATCCTATCTGGATATCGTGATTAATAACTGTTAATAGACGTAAGTTCTAATAATGGGTCTAATAATTCTAGCTTTCCCAGAATGTCTGTGGGGAAGCCAAGCTACCTAAATAAATTTAAATTCACAAGATACATTCAGCTGTTTTGCTCCTTAATAGTGATTGGCTTGAAAAATGTTCATTCTAGTTCTGTTGAGTGCATAGCGTGCAATGTGGTATTTGTATGATTTCTCCATCCTAGCTACCAATTGCGGATTGAATGTATGCTGCTGTGTGAAGAGACTGCTGTTCTGCTGGAGATGTTGCAGCCCAAAGCAGAAACAATAAGGAGGGCTTGTGAAGGTTAGTAATTGTTTAAAGCCTAAGTGTAGTTTGGGTGTTCTGAGTAGTCCAAAGAACAGCCAGTTCCTTTCCAATCTAAAATCACAATTTGCTGAGAAATCAAACTCTAGTATCTTAGCAGAGGGCCAGAACTTAAATGGTTTGGTCAGTGCTTACATGAATACATAGATCTGTGTTTGCTCAGAAGATCAGTGTCCACTCCTGCAAGATGTAGATAATATTTATGTTCTCAGTCTCTCCAGATTAGTTAGCCAGATCTTTGAGAATGGAATGAAGCCATTATTGGTTTGGTATGCAGTGTACTAATCCCATCTGCATAGCAACAGAAGTCCTGCTCAGGCATTCACCCTTGAAGCAATGAAAGACGTGCAAGGTGGAGAGCAAAACCTCACTCAGTATCCCCAAGCTTTTATCACGTTCCATACTTACATACATGCCCATCATACCATTCCTCTTTGGGGTAAATAACTGCAAGCAAAGCACAGAGAAGGAATAAGAAATAGTAAAATGAAGAAATTAAAGATATGAAACAAGAAACAGAAAGAGAAACAGCTAAATCTAATTTACATGAACAACTGTGATGGCATGTATCTACGAAGAGGAGGGTGATGTGAGAGATCAAGGCTATCAGGAAGGAGGGGGCGCGTTCCAGGAAGGGAAAGGAGACAAAAGACAACACAGTCCGCAGGAGGAGCGTGGGAAGGGAAAGAAGTTCAGGATAGCCACTCCCTAGAGTCTCCCAGGGTAGAGCCACTTGTTGCTGTAGTATAGATTTAGTCTGGCAAGATTCTGTCTATCAGATGTAAGCAAATAAAAGAACCTAACTCAACTGGACTGTTTCACCGTTGTTCTTGGGCTGGGCCTGACAACAACATACACCATATCTCTACATACCCTTTTATTCTTTATTCTGTCACAGCTATATACCATTCCCCCATTTGAGGATCTTATCAGTTTCATCCAATCATCCCTCTTCCTTTCAACCCATTACTCTTCCTTTGCATTCTCTTCCCTGCAAGATCCAGATGGCTCCCACTCTGCCATTTTTTAGAAG